GCAGAGAGACAATGAGGAGGAGGAGGAGAAAAGTGGAGAGGAGAAGGTGGTGGAGAAAAAGGAAGAAGGGAAGGAGATAATGCAGAATGAGATTGTGGTGGAGAAGGAGCAGATGATGAAAAAGAAGAAGGTGGTGGTGATGGTGGTGGTGGTGGAGATGGTGGAGACAAATAAAAAAATAAAGAAAGATACCAGCACCCAACTAACAGAGGAGGAGAAGGTGGTGGAGAAAAAGGAAGAACAGAAAGAGATAATGCAGAAGGAAGAGGTGGAGAAGGAGGAGGAGGTGATGAAAGAGGAGAAGGTGGTGGAGAAAAAGGAAGAAGAGAAAGAGATAACGCAGAAGGAAGAGGTGGAGAAGGAGGAGGAGGTGATGAAAGAGGAGAAGGTGGTGGTGGAGAAAAAGAAAAGAAAGAAAGATACCAGCACCCGACTGTCAGAGGAGGAGTTCTGGAGAAGGAAAATGGAGGAGGAGAAGGTGGTGGAGAAAAAGGAGGAAGAGAAAGAGATAATGCAGAAGGAAGAGGTGGTGGAGAAGGAGGAGGAGGTGACGAAAGAGGAGGAGGAGGTGATGAAAGAGGAGAAGGTGGTGGTGGAGAAAAAGAAAAGAAAAGATACCAGCACCCGACTGTCAGAGAAGGAGCTCTGGAGAAGGAAAATTATCGCCAGAAGGCTATCTGCAGCAAAGTTTCTGTTTGAGCAAATAAAGGAGGAGGAGGAGGACAAGATGAAAGCTGAGGAAGAGAACAATGAGGAGAAAATAAAATACATTGGAAAGGAGGAGGAGGAGGAGGAGGTGAAGAAAAAGAGAAGGAGGAGGCGGCCAAGAAAAAACTGCATGTTGGAAGAAGTGGAGGAGATGGAAGGAAAGGAAAGTGAGGACAAAGAGAATCACATTGAGGAGAAAGAGCAAATGAATGACATTGAAAAGGAGGAGGAGGAGGAGGAGGTGAAGAAGAAAAAGAGAGGAGGAGGCGGCCAAGAAAAAACTGCAAAGTGGAAGAAGTGGAGGAGATGGAAGGAAAGGAAAGTGAGGAGGTGGAGAATCACATTGAGGAGAAAGAGCAAATGAATGACATTGAAAAGGAGGAGGAGGAGGAGGAGGTGAAGAAAAGGAGAAGGAGGAGGCGGCCAAGAAAAAACTGCAAGGTGGAAGAAGTGGAGGAGATAGAAGGAAAGGAAAGTGAGGAGGTGGAGAATCACATTGAGGAGAAAGATCAAATGAATGACATTGAAAAGGAGGAGGAGGAGGAGGTGGTGAAGAAAAGGAGAAGGAGGAGGCGGCCAAGAAAAAATAACAGTATGAACGAGGAAGAAAAAGAACAAAGTAGAGGAGTAGAGACATACTGTATGTGAAGGAGGAGGGTGAACAACATTGTACAACATCAATAAAAATGTGTTTTGTACAATACTGTATGTGCTGTGTGTTGTGTTCATCTGCTTAATTCTCTGTTTCAAAAGTATTGAATTTTGTTTGTTTAAAGAAAATATTGATTTATATTTAGATTAAACATAAATGTAAACATATATATGTAACAAAATTGTTTTGTATAGTTTAGTTTCTATGTATGTGTGTATCACATATACAAAACAAATATATATAATACACACACATATATAATGTCAGACTTATATTTTGCATGTGATTAATCTGCCCAGCACTAATACAGTAAACCTACAGATCCTGGAGTCTGACCTTTAAGATTTATATTGCGATTCAGATTTCTTGTTTAGAATTGTTAAAGTCGAATAATTCAGAGAATTGCTATCTTTCCGAGGCAGAAACAAGCTTCATAGAAACCACTTACAAATCCATCACATCTTCAAACAATGAAAATCCATTAATAATCTATTCAATTAGACTTCTATCTAATTCTAACTTAATGAACTCTTAGTTTACTTTACCATCAAGACTAAAGACTTTTAGTGCAGGTCTCTAGTCGCTCCGTTTCTATTACCCTACAGTTGCACAAACTGAAATTATGAATTGAAAATATGTCCATTGGAAATGTTTAATTAGCAAAAACTGCCACTCTCACACAAACACACAAACAAACAAACACACACACACACACACACACACACACACACACACACACTTCAGACTGGCAAGAGGTGGTTTTTCAGGCAATTCAAAAAAGCTATTTATCCGCTAAAGAATAGAAAAAAAAAACGTTTTAGCTGCACTGTAAAAAATGTAATGAAAAAAAGTCAAGACAACAAATATTTTGATGTTACTTTAACATCTTTTAATATAATAACATTTTTAAAGTTGTACCAAGTTTAACTTAATATTTGTAATCTATTATGTATATACCATTAAAGAAAAAAAATCTTATTGACCATAAACCTTAAAAAATAGGGAACATTTCATATAATAACACTGATAAAACGTTTTTTTTCACTGATAAAACTATTTATTTATGTTTTAGGTATCTGTAGTAATCAGGCTAAGATTATATTAAATTGTTATATTTTGTCAAATATACACATTATTTACTATTTCAATCAATCAGAACACTACACAGTGTAAACAACAACAACACTGGGTTGTACAAAACTGTGGGTCAATTATACAGGGCTGCAAAATTATGAGAAAAAAATCATTGAATATCTTGAATGGTTTAATAAAGATTATTTATTTTTTATAGCCAACATTTGTGTTTGGGGAAATGGATCATCATATTCTGGCTACAGAGACAAAATATGTTTTTCCATCACATTAGCTGAGAATAAACTGAGCAAAAACTGCACATTTTTCTCACTGAAGCTGCTAAATTAATCTCCTTTATTTCTGTGCCTTGTAATTTATGGCAAGAAAACTTTACTGTTTTCAGCGATAACAAATCTTAGGTGCTCTGTATTTACATTATATATGTCATAAACTACAAAAGAAATCAAAATGTGTAAATAATTGTCCAGAAAATTTACTTTTTTTACAGTAAAGCTAATTTCAAATTGAAAAAAATAATTAATTAATTTCACTACCAGCCAACCTCTAAAAACAAACAAGTAAGGGTTAATTACGCTAGTAAGTGTCTAGTAAAAGCAGTAGGACATGAAAGTTTTATGAAAGACTTATTTTATGAAGAGCTTTTAAAAGCTTTTAAGAGCTTTTTTAATAGCGACTTGTATGTTCTCCTTAAATTAAATTTAAAAATATATGATTTGGTGTTTAAGAAATATTCCTTAAGATTGCCATTTTGGAAAAAAGTGCAACGATTTTCTAAAACCATTAAGCAAAAAAAAAAAAATCCTACTGACCACAAACATTTACAAAATAGGGAAAATTTCATATGATAACAATGATAACAGATCTAAGGTACCCTGTGATTACATTAAACGTTATAAACAGGGCTTGACATTAACACTCGCCAAATGCGGGTAGATTTCAGCTGTCGCGGGTTAGACAGCCACTCTCACTAGCCACTTTGGCTGTGATAAATGTATTTACAGTATATGAGAATATTGTTTTTAAGTATCAACTGTGAATAAAAAGTGTATGCATATAGCTTTATTTTGTTTGCTTTACACATTTTTTAAATGTGTTTCAAAAAAATAATTAGTTCGGTGCAGCCAGAGAAAAACTTAGCAAATCCTTAGTGTCGAGCCCTAAAAACTCATGTGAAATAAACTATTAATAAAAATAAAATTAAATTAATTACATTGCGACACTATAAAAATTACATCCCATGTGCTCATGTTCATTGAGCAAGGTCATAAACAACACACAAAAATGTTAAATGAACAAGGAGGCATGTGGACATCAAGTATAAATCAATAAAGTTAGCATGTCAAATTCAAATTTATGAATATAAAATATATTTTTCCAACATTAAAATTGTGGTTAGTGAAAATGGCGAGTGGTTAGTAATGTTGGAAAACTCCTAGCCACTGTGGCTGGTGATCAAAAAAGCTAATGTCAAACCCAGGTTATAAACTCCAAACTACAAAAGAAATCTCATCATGTGTGTAATAAATTGTCCTGAAAATTTGCTTTTTTTACAGTAAAGTTAATTTCAAATTGACAAAAATACTGTACATGTTACCAGCCAACCTCTGAAAACAAACAAGTAAGGGTATTTTAAGAGACGAAGAGTCTGAACTTGACAAGAAAGAAAAAAAAAAAACTCAAATCAAATCTTTACTTTTCTCAGTCTCACCTGCTACTCAGAAAGGCACAGATGAGGTCTTTGGCATCCTTTGACATTTCAATATCATCTGGGAAAGTTAAGCTGTTCTTGTGATCCATGATCTTTCCATATGTGCCCACCAGAGACTCGGAATAAAATGGAGTGTCGCCTGCTCAGAGTGACAGACGAATAAATAAATTTAATGATCAGAACACTGAACTAAAATTACAAGAGATGCATATGAAGCTGACACTACTCACCCACTAGAAGCTCATAAATAAAAACACCAACAGACCACCAGTCACACTCGCGACCGTAATAACCAGTCCCTCCTTGAGACATTAAAACCTCTGGAGAAATGTAAACAGGTGTCCCAACAGCAGCGTCACAGCTTACCAAACCAGTCTAAACACACATGTAGAGACATGGATATAAACATTACTGGATGAGTTAATGTAGCTGAAATACAAGTTTGTTTAAAATTTCAATTATTTACACAATTCATATTTTCATTCAATTCAAGGACTGCACTGTATAATCTAGACACAAGATGGCAGCACTGACATCTATCATCACCGAATGGAGGACTTCTGTAACCTACGTTAATGATTGTTTAAACAAATTTGCTGCAATGTGTGAGGTGATAATTGTAAATCTCCACATTACAAAATCTAAAAGAAACTCTCTCATTCTCGGTCATGTACAGTACATGTAAACACACCAACTACTGGTGTATGATATTTATCGTTTTCAATAAAAATGTACTTGTATTGTGAGCTGGCATTGCAGAGAGCTTCATTCAATTAAGAAAAACGAACAAAATTTAAAATGTGTAGGATTTTGTGAAATAATACAAGCAAGTTAACACAAGCAGGCTTTCCCGAACATCCATTAAAACACAATAAAGCGAGTTCTGTTCAACAGATCAACAGAAAATACCAAACAAAGCTGAAGCAGAAAATGTGCATCTTAGAGCAAGAGTTTGTGTGTGTGTGTGTGTGTGTGTTGAACTTCAATCTGTTTTAAATAAATCATCAACAAAGACAGTCACTAATTGCTTCGTTTCTAAATGAGTCAGCCATTTTGAATCAATTGTTTGAATAAATGTTCATTGAATCACTTATCAAAACAGAATAAATTCAAAATCCCACACTTCCCTTGTATACAGTTTATGAAAAACAGCATGTGACCTTGTACATCCGAATTAGTAGTAGAAATTTAGACGCAAGGGGCAACACTGTGGCTCAGTGGTTAGCACTGTCGCCTCACAGTAACAAGGTCGCTGGTTCGAGCCCTGGAGTTTGTTTATTCTCCCCATGTCCAAACACATGCATTACAGGTGAATTGAATAAACCAAATTGGCCATAGTGGCCATAGTGTATGTTTGAAGGAGTGTGTATAAGTTTTTCCCAGTAGTGGGTTGCAGTTGGAAGGGCATCCGCTGTGTAAAACACATGCTGGATAAGTTGGCAGTTATTTCCGCTGTGGCGACCCCTGACTAATAAAGGGACTAAGCCAAAGGAAAATGATTGAATGAATCAGGAGGCAAAAAGTACCAGAATTATCAATTACTGAAGTGTGGAATTAATTCATTTACTATCCTATGAGGCCTGATGACGACAGGTCAACATGACAGTGACAACAACGTCAATGCAGTAGCCAGAATTTCATTCTCACTTCCTCTATTCTATTTTAATATTGTCAAGACACAACTTAGAACTAAAATGAAGTACCGATTTAGATAGTAGCCTACTATTTTTGACATGGAGAAAGAGACTTGCTGTCACCTACAGTAGTGGTGTCACCTAGTGGTCATATCTGTTAATCCATGTCAGGCCTAAACTAGCCAAGGTATCAGCACAAAAGCACACTAAGCAAAATATTATTCAATTAGATTATTAAAAAAAAAAGGAGAGAAACATTTTCGTTAGAATCAAATCCCCTTAAAAGACACTTCAAGTGCACTTATCACACACCGAGTCCATCTTCGTACATGTGCCAAAGTCTGCGAGTTTGAGGTGTCCATTGCGGTCCAGCAGCATGTTGTCTGGTTTGATGTCTCTGTGGATGAAGCCCAGAGAATGGATGGCGTTGAGTGCCAGCACCACTTCTGCTGTATAGAATTGAGCCCATTCCTCTGGGATGTCATAGTTGCTGGTCCGAGTCACCAGATCTCCACCTGGCATGAACTCCATCACCAAATAAAGGTACTTTTCATCTTGGAATGCACAGCACAGCTATGTGGACAGAGAGATAGAGTGGTGAACAGAGAAGTCACAATATATTTCAGTAATCAATACCAGTGAAATTTAACAATACTTAATTTTAGTTGCAGCAACCCAGCTAAATTAAATAATAAGCAATGTGATATTGAACACAGACTTTATTTAATCGTTTAAATATTTAATTCATAATTTAAATACTGTTATTAAAAAACTTTTAATGTTATCAATTACAGAATGTAAATAATAAAGTTAAAATATAAAAAATTATAAATGGAATATTAAATGACATTTTAAGTATGAACATATACATACACATAAACAGTTGTGTCAAGCAATTAATCAAACCCAAAATTAAAATTTGCATCTTCATAACATGTACATAATTATTTATATTTATTTATAATTTGATGTAGATATAAATATTTCATATAAAGATATAAATGAACATTTTCTCAAATATATACATTTCTGTGTGTATGTATGTATATACTGTACGCTAAATGATAAATATATACACTCCACAAAAATATATTATGTAAATACAAACTTAATTTTTTATGTGATTAAGCATTTGACAGCACTTATAAAAATACAACTAGCAACAAGTTATTGCCATTTAAATTATGTTATACTTAAAATCAAGTTTAACTTTCTTTATTTTGGTTAGTTAACATCAACATTACAGCAGCAGAAATATTAAGCTTCAAGGTCTAATGAACTGGTCTGTATTTTTTGTCGTCCTTATTTACACGAGTACATAACTGACTGACTACAACATGGGCTGGTGCATCCTGTGAAATACAAGTGTTGAAAAACAGCCAGTCAAGAATATTTTCTCAGTCAGGTTTACATTTTACTATTTATACTATTTTATACTATTTAAGTGAAGTACTAGTAGTTTTAGTCATTTAACATTATTATTTTTAAATCTTTTACCGGCCCATGCCTAATCCCAAACCAGGGTATTTTTTAAAGTACAAATTATTGTTCCAAGGCTGCGTTTAATGGGTAGTACTGTGTATATTTTGCCAATTTAAATGTCAAAGGAGAATTTCACATTAAGCTCTATTTTAGGATCACAGTGGAACCCCAAAAATAAATTAATTTTGTTCAAAAATAGGTCATAGGTTTAAAATAATCCAATTTTTCGACAGGGTGTGTCTTTACAGTAAATGACATTGACCAGAGTTTAGTGTCCTCTGCTGACCAAAATCAGACATTCTTTAAATTTATTTTCATTTACAACGTTAATACTGTCACCATCCTCCAAACTTGATTTGATCACTTATTTCACATTTAGTTACCTAAACTAGCATTTTATAATACTATAGCTTATACAATACCCATAATGAGTACAACCTGACAGATTTCTCAGAAAATACCTTGCTTTTAAATAATTTAGTTTCCTATAGAATACAATATTTGTGGAAATCTGGCTTACTCCAATAATGCAGAGATCAGTACAACATGCTAATTGAAACTATTCCAACAAAATGATTTAGCTGAATTTGTTGTAAATATAAACAATAAATGTTTTCTCTAATTTGAATTTAAATTATATAATTCTAATATTTTTTTCTCATTTTTTATTTACATGTTTAATCTTTTTTAACTTGCTATATTGTAGAAACTGATCTAATATTTGCCCCAGGTTTCACTAACAAAGCTTTAGCCTTGTCCAAGACTGAAGTGCATGTTTAAGTTGTCTAAATTAAAACTTGCTGAGAGGTATCTTAAAATAGCCTACATCAGTTTTATATATTTCTCTCAAGATGCACAACGAGAATGTTTTTTTTTTCTAAATAATGTCTAAAAATCTGCTTAAATAATTAAACAAGGCCTAGACCTGGGCTGCCCTTTGTGAAACCACTAATAATCATTATTCCTTTATAGACTAGTGTTCTCCTTGATCCCAAGCTCTGTGGCAGCAATTTCAGAAATGTTTCTGCCCTTCATGTGTTCAGGTGTTTGACAAGTAATTTTATCATCATGAAAATTTTTCTTTCCGTGCAAACGCAGCCAATGCCACAGAGTCGCAGTGCCATGGATTACCAGACAATAACGCATACAAACGACCACAGAACATAGGCTACCTGAGGGCAAATTCAGCAGAGTGTTGTTTCTAAGGTTGAGGAAAACAAGCTCTTTCTGTTGAAGGAAGAGTCCAGCAGGAAGACTTTCCAGACGGTTCCCGCTCATAAACACCTGCTGAAGGTTTGGGTTACCGATGAAAACTGAAGGGTCCAGGGATTTAAGTCTATTGTTTTCTAGATAAAGGGCCTCGAGTTTTGACAGAGACACCAGAGCTCCAGGAGTCAGTTCCTCCAGCTGGTTATTTTTGAAGTTTAAACTCTGGAGATTGCCGACAAACCCAGGCGTACCGACAAATTATTGTTGATAAGCGTGACGCATAATATTATAAATAAACAAGGTTATTAAAGAATCTTTTTTCGGCTAACTATTGCCATTTACAGTTTTTCCTAAAAAAAGCAACAGACAGACAGACAGACAGACAGACAGACAGACAGACAGACAGACAGACAGACAGACAGACAGACAGACAGACAGACAGACAGACAGACAGACAGACAGACAGATAGACAGATAGATAGATAGATAGATAGATAGATAGATAGATAGATAGATAGATAGATAGATAGATAGATAGATAGATAGATAGATGTCAATTTTATTAAGTACAAAAATAAGATTGTACTTAAAATGTACTTTATTTTATTTAAGTTTATATTTTTTGCAGTCAATTACACTTTTTCCCCTTCCTTGCATTGGTGTTACATAAAGGGACAGTTCACAAAAAAGGAAAATTAACTCACCCTTAAATGCTTTCAAATCTTTAAAAGTAAAGAAGATATTTTGAACAAAGGTGAAGACCTGTAATATTGTCTTCCATAGTAACAAATAAAAATACTGTGGAAGTCAATTGGGTCAGGTTTCCAGCTTTCTTCAAAATATCTTCTTTTGTTTTTAGAAGTAGACAAAACAGGTTAGGAACGTGATGGGTGATTAAATGACGATTTACTTTTTGGTGAACTGTCCCTTTCATTAAACATTTAGAAATGTTCAAATGGTGTGACTAGCATTTAATCAGTAAAACGTGTTTGTGTCTTATGCTAGTAGTTATCTTTTGCATGAATTAGTGTTTATTCCTTAGGTAGCCTGGTACCTTTTTAATATTTACTAGCACTTATTTGTTAGATAACTGGTTCTTTTTCTAAATAATATTAGACACTTGTTGACATTTATTTCAAGAGTGACTGTTACTAGTAACCGATTTTAAGTATTTGCCAGACTAATATGAGTTGGGTCTAAAAGATGATTTTTATATATTAATAGGCCTTGCTGATCATTAGATACTATAACATCCCTTATTCTACTAAAAGACATGAATTCTTTTAGTATCAGCGCCAATTTCTGCGGTTTGCGTTCGAAGGTCGAGCGTGGCAGTACAAGGTCCTCCCCTTCGGGCTCTCTCTGTCTCCGCGGATCTTCACCAAACTCGCGGAGGGTGCCTTAGCGCCCCTTCGGCTCGCGGGCATCCGCATACTCAATCCGAGAGAAAAGAGCAAACTCGCCCCTGTGCAGAGGATCTCTTTTCTCGGGATGGAGCTGGACTCGATAACCATGGTAGCGCACCTCTCCAAGGAACGTGCTCGCCTGTTGCTGAGTTGTCTGGGAGAGCTCAACAGCAAACTAGTGGTCCCACTGAAGTTCTTTCAGAGGCTCCTGGGGCATATGGCATCTGCAGCCGCCGTCACGCCGCTCGGATTGCTCCATATGGGACCACTTCAGCACTGGCTTCACGATCGGGTCCCAAGACGCGCA